TTTTTTTTTTTTTTATTGAACGGTAACTATGTACATTAATGCACTTCTTAAGCAAATTTTCATTATGTGGCAATATAAGTACTGTGTATTTACCTTTCAAATTTGAAATCATTAAGAATTCCCTTCCTTTCTGCTGATTCACAGGTTGTTATTGAGCACGTCACCGTGCTAGGTACCATACTGCCTTCTCCTGGTTGTAGTGGAAATGCTAGCTTTAACGTACTTGCATACAGGGGACCAGAATCTCGGCCTACTGCTGTTTTCCCTGTACTTTAAACGTCTCTATGTTTCATGCGGGGTCATCACGTGGCCCAACTCCAGGGGCACCGTTTGCTTTGTATTCTAAGGGAATGGGATCCTTTGCCATTGAATCCAGTGTGATTGGAAGTCGTGCCCACATTGTTTGTGCCACAGCCCTTCAGTGTACACCCATTGATTTTCAACTACCAGGGTCTGCGTCTCTGCCTGTAGGCTTTCTCGGAAGCCAGCGAGGGCTTCTGCCTATTGGAAGTGCTAGGGAAATACAGTAGAAACTCTGTAAGCTGACCAGTAAAAGGGACTATAACAAACCAGTCAACATACAGAGGTGGTCAACATAAGGAACTAGGCCTACTGTACTGATACGTACAGGTGGTGCATGTCCAGTCTATGAAAATTAGGCCAACTGAAGGAGGTAGTCAGTGTAGGGAGATGGTCAATATGGAGGTTCTACTATTACCATTTTCTTGGAGGGGCCGTCCCTCAGGTGGGATGAGTCTGAACTGGATTGTTTCTAAACTGTTTTCCAGAGTTTCACCACAGGAACTAGGCCTCAACAGCCTACCCAGTTAGGTGGTTTGACAACACTTAGTGATGCCTCTCTTCCCTGTCCCCCCCACCTACCATCCCTATTGCCGACACCTCCCAAACAAACCACCTGCCCTGGAATCCTAGTCTCAGGGTCTACTTCCGAGGTGAATAGAAAATAAGACACCAAGCATGACAGCCTGGTGTTTAAAGGCTCACTAGTTACCTGAAATGCATATTTGCCATAATGAACATAGAAATGTGTCAACTCTATTGTTTTTGGAAATAGAAGGAGAAGGGGTCATTAATCTCATGATCAAATGCAAACTACCCAATTGCTTCTACTTAGGAAACAGACAACTCTTACATCTGCTATTACATCAAGTCTTTATTAACAAGTAAAGAACTCAACATCACACATTAATAAGACTCCTGATTGCCAAGAAAGACTTGCATACAAAACATCTTCTTCAGATACCCATTCACAGGGGAAGATGATAGGGATGGGCTCAGGGAGGAATTCTCTATGACTAAAGAAGAAAAATACACCGAATTTATGAGTAAAAAGAAAGAATTCTGCAAAATTTTACAAGTGAAATGAAAAACAGCATAATAATAAGTATTACAAAAAGACTTTCCAGTGACCATAATTCATCTATGGCACCTGGTCAATACATATGGATACCACATAATAGCTGCACTTCAAATTGAAGTTTGTTTACACGTCACAACGTGGAACGCATACACAAATATGTACACTCAATATCCCTGGAATGCACATGTTAGCATGTAGTAATAAAGAACTTTATGTAGCATATTCGCAAGAAAGGTCAAGATAGAGATGAAGCCGTGAGGAATAATTGTTCAAGAAACCAAATACATTTCACTTTTATAGAAGCTAACGGAGAAAGGCCTGTTTGCTCATGCTCTCACTGGAGGTTTGGCTGCCATAGTCTACCAACTACATAAACAAGTTGTGAATTTAAAATACAGCATGAAGACCCTTAAATATTAGCTCTCCAAGTGAGGGTTACTCACCAGCACCACCTTCTCTCATGTTTATCCTATTGGCCCTCAAAAAATTACCATACTTAACACTTTTGTAAAAGAAAATGTTTATTTTTATTGATAAATAGTTTTTCCTCCATAAATTTCTTGAGACCCTCTCCTAATTAAAACAGCCACTGTTAACTAAAACTTAAGTTGATACCTTTTGATACTGAGTATCAATACTAACTTTCAATACTTAAAAACTCCCTTTTATCAGATTGAGCTCCATTTGGATTATAAATTCTAGTTCTTGGGGCGGTGCCTGTGGCTCAAAGGAGTAGGGTGCCGGCCCCATATGCTGGAGGTGGTGGGTTCAAACCCAGCCCCGGCCAAAAACTGCCAAAAAAAAAAAAAATTCTAGTTCTGACATACAGAATCAAGAATACTTGAGTACTACATTCTTAAAGCAGTATAAGACCAAAACTATGAGTTTCAACATTTTCTTAAAATTTTGTTTATAACGAACATGTTTGAGTTAAAACCTCCAGTGCGTACTAAAAACTTAGTAAGTTGGTCTTACTACAATAGATTAGTTATAATATTAAATGCAGTTGCCAATGAGTGGAGCCACAGGGGAAAGACAATCTTTATACTAAACCAATTATTAGAAAAAGTCAAACTTAAGTGACAAAAAAAATCCAGCAATTATCTTGTTATGGTTACGGACTGTGCCATTTTATCCTATAATTGATATAATTGATTTTTGGTCATTTTACCCAGCTCATTTCAGATTAGAGCCAAAATAATGTAAAAATTAAGTGATAACAGTTAATCCCAGAGACTTAGCGAAAATTAAAAAAAAAAGAATAGTACTTAACATCGTCACCATTCATACAAATTCTAGCATAATGACCACATACCCATTCTATCATTTGGAGTTCTTTTCCATTTTATCAGGTAGAAAAGTTTACCCCAGGAAGGTAGTTGAAACAGAAGTCTCCTTTCTTAAACAAAGCGATGTATGAAGCTCGTGAGCTGTGCCAGAGTGGAAAGGAATGTCACTGGACAAACGTGACACTGCGTATTTTTGTGACTGGAAAGGAGACTCAGAAGCCCTGTGACAGTTCTCTTCTAGCTTTGAAAGGCCACTTCAGTGTCAACTGAGAAAACTCAGTCGTGGTAGCATCCGGTATACCACCCCATATACTTTACAAAGATTTCTTTTTCTGTACTCAATATTTACACCTAGATTTCTTAGATGAGAAAAAGAAAAAAAAAAGGTCTTCTTTGATCCATGGGTGAATTTTATACGAAATAAATTAAAGTGCAGAAGATTAACAATCGGTCACAAACATCAGTATCCCACGGTGGTCAGGGCGTATAAATAGTGTTCTTGTGAAGCGCAGTTCAGGACGGCTGCCCTCTCACCTGTTAGAAACACACACACTAACACACACGGATCACACATGGATATTAGAATTCCCATTTCCACCTCCACCTTCCGTGCCTTCTGTGGACTGTGAAGACGATGGCCGGGAGCTTCTGGGGCGAGGCTGGCCGTTTAGTCCCACTGGTGTGCCCAGCCCATGACTTATCTGGGAAGCAGCATCATCAGATTCCCAGCGTTCCAACTCCTCCCGCACTAGCCGTTCCATCTGTTCCCTGTGGATTTCACTGTCACGACCCAGTCTTTCATCCTAAAAAGAGAAAAGGGCACCAGGATGTTGGAGGTGGGCGATGCACACTCTTCTACTTAGAGACTGTGTTAGGAAATCCGGGGGCCAAATAATCTGTAGTTAGGGAGAAATGGAGATTTATAGCCTGTCTGGGCAATTCTCAAAGTCACTGGAGGAATTTTTCACTTAATTCTACTCTCTACTGAAGGGCAGGGCCATGAATGTGTGAAGTATTAAGAAAATAAGACCTGGCTCAGCGCCTATAGCTCAGGCAGCTAGGGTACCAGCCACGTACACTGGAGCTGGCAGGTTTGAATTCAGCCTGGGCCAAAAAATAGCTGGGCGTGGTGGAGAGCGCCTGTAGTCCCAGCTGCTTGGGGGGCTGAGGCAAGAGAATCGCTTGGGCCCAGGAGTTTGAGGTTGCTGTGAGCTGTGACACCATGGTACTCTACTATCCAGGGTGACAATTCGAGACTCTATCTCAAAAAAAAAAAAGTAAGATCTCACCTGGGGCATGGTGGCCATGCCTGTAATCCTAGTCCTCTGGGAGGCTGAGGTGGGTGGACTGCTTGAGCTCAGAAGTTCAAGACCAGCCTGAGCAAGAGTGAGATCCTATTTCTACTAAAAATAGAAAAATTAGCTGGACATGCTGGTGTAGGCCTATAGTCCTAGCTATTGGGAGGCTGTGGCAGGAGGATCACTTGAAGCCAGGAATCTGAGGTCCTCTGAGCTAGGCTGATGCCAGGGCATTCTACCCAGGGCAACAGAATGAGACTCCGTCTCTAAAAAAAAAACCAGAAGAAAAAAGAAAAGAACATGACATCTCCAGATTCTCTCATGCGGTCTGCAGTTATGGGGAAAGGCAGACATCTCGAGCTAAGGGGTATAAAAGATGACTACCTGGATATTTTATAGAAACAAAGAGGGTTTCTAGCTCAGGAAAAAAAAATTCTACAAATGAGAGTAAATGGAAGCAACATTGTGAATTTCTGTCCACATAATCTCTCTCTTTTTTTTTACTCTTCTTCACTAATTCCTTTATTTTTTCCTTTGGCCAGGGCTGGGTTTGAACCCGCCACCTCCAGCATATGGGGCTGACACCCTACCCCTTAGAGCCACAGGCGCCACCTCTTCACTAATAGCAACAGAAAACAGTGTCATGACGTATATTTGAATCAGTGAGCAACACCTTGTTCCCTAGCCGCGCCCGGGACCCTTTACCTCGGCCACTCCCTCCAGCAGCCTTCCCAGCACCTCCCTTCTCTTCAGCTTGGCCCGTTCCATGATCTCCAGCTTCACGATCACGGCGTCGATCTTGGACACGATGCTGCCGATGGAGTGCTCCATTCGGTCCACTCGCCTCACCAGGCTGCCAGAAAGCAGAATGCGGAGGGGCAGAGCCCTTGTCAGTGTCTTCTCAGCCCAGATGGCTTTTAAAGTGGAAATGCTAGGGTATTTTTTTTTCTTAAGCAGTATGATCATCTGAAACACTTTCTAAGTGGTTTCAAGCTTTAGAGATAAATTTTCAGCACTGCTGGTGGCAGCGTTAACTGGACCAATGTTCCTACAAGTCACCTATACAGAGTTCTTAAAAATGTATGCTTTTCCTGTGATGGAGGCATTTCATTTTTAGAACATTTTCTAAAGGGGGCTGAGACTGTGGCTCATCTCAGCACTTTGGAAGGCTGAGACAGGTGGATCACTTGAGGCCAGGAGCTCAAGACCAGCCTGGGCAACACAGCAATATAATCTCTATACAAAAATAAAAGAAATTATCAAATCCTGGTACCACAACTCTCCCGTCCTAGCTGCTCAGGAAGCTGAGGCAGGAGGATCGCTTAAGCCCAGGAATTGAAGGATACAGTGAACTATGATAACCCCACTGCACTACAGCCTGGGTGCAGGTGATAATGTCTCCTAAAAAATGAAAGGAAATTTTCTTTGAGAATGTGTAATCTTAGGCTACAAGAATATTTATGAGAGTGCTCATTACTGAAAAGTGGCTATAACAAAGAATCAACAGGTTGTTTAAATAAATTATTGTGCCTCTATGCCAATGATTTTCAACTGGTATGTCATGAGAGAATCTTAGGTGCACCAAGAACATTTTTAAAGATTATTAATTAAATTATTTTCAAAAGAAGTTCAAAGCACAGCAAGTATATTCTCTTTTTACTTTTTTTTTTTTTTGGATTGACATAATTTAAGTGTGCCACAGTAGTGTAACTACAGGTTTACGTGTGCTGTGAGATTAAAAAAGATTGGAAAACACTGTTCTATACAATGAAATTCTAAGGAGACACTGGATATTATATTGGGACAGAATATTTAATAGAATATGTTCGCAATATATTAAGTAAATAAACCTTGAAAAAAGCAATATGAAAACACTATGTTCACTTATGACCCCATTATTCTGAATAAGAAAGATGTTATGTCAATACTTAAAAACCCTATACACAGGAGGTAGGCTCTGCAAAGGCAGCATGAGGGTAGACTCTCTCTTGAGTGAAACTGTAACTATTGGAAAATTATTTTTAAAAATTCAAAATATGTATAATCCCTAGAAAAAAATTAAGGGCATACAGCAAATGAAAAGGAGCTTATTTAAGAAAATCTACGAAATTTCAGTCAGAAGAGAGTCTGTGGCTTTGGAGCCCTATTTTGAGCCCTCTCTCTTGTCCCCAGCTCACTGTGACAGCACCCTTCTAGGTAGGTGTGACCCTTCTGGGTAGGTGCAGCTAAGAGCAGAGGGCTCCCCTTCATCCCCTGCTCCCAGCCCAGGGCTATAATATCGTCTCGGGAGGGTCAGGCTGCCAGCATATCTCATCTCAGGGCTCCCACTCTCAGCTCCATGTTGCAGAGGCTGAATCCAGGCAAGAGCAGGCGAGAGGCCTGGGGCTGTCTCCTCCACTCAGCCCCTACGTATAAGGTGGAGTTTCCATAGCAAGAGAGGCAAGGTGAGAAGACAGAGGCTGCCATCCCAGCCCAACTCCTTGTTCATAAAGCAGGGCTATAGCTCTGAGAGTGGTGGACTATTGCCCCTGGTTCCACGTCTGAAGCAGTGGCACAGAGGTGTTGCCCAGGGAAAGAAGTAGGTAACAGGAATATAGAATTCATCTCAAGTGAAATGACTTCATTTGGAATAAAGTGTGGGGAAATTCAATCCTAAGGATGCTCTTGAAAGCAAGGAAGGTTGTGGGGATAAGCAGTTAAGAGGAGGCTGGTAGTGTCATGAGATCAATTGCTTCCCAGCCAGTTTATCAGAGGGAAGCAGGGAAAGAGACAGCTAAGAAAACAGTTGAAGACTGTACCTGCAAAGGGGCCCACATTTCATTGGATCAGATTGTGGAACAATTTATAGACCGAGGCATTTGAGGGTCAGCCAACAAAGGAACCTAATAGCTGGGTATGATACCAACAGGGGCATAAGTTTGGCAGAGATCAGGGAAAGAGCCCTGCTAGAACCACGTCCTCCAGGATGACTGTGCTCACGCCATAGCTATGCCCCTAAGAACAACATCAAAGGCTTCATACTGTGGGGGAAATAAACTTTACTTAAAAGTAAACAAGCAGAGAACAATAAGAACAAATTGCGCACGAAGGAGAATCAGTATCCAAAGCTGCTACAATACTATTATTTAACATGTCCATTTTCAACAAAATATGAGAGGAAACAGGAAACTGAGACCCATACACAGGAGAAAAAAAAAAGCAGACAACAGAACTCAACTGCGTTTGAGAAGTCCCAGACACCAGAATTAGCAGAGACTTCAAAGTAGCTATTATAAACATACTCAAAGAACTAGAGGAAATCATGGTTAAATTAATAAGGGCAAGATGACAATGTGTCATCAAACACAGAATATCACCAACTACCAAAAAAGGAACAGAGAGTATTAAAAAGAATCAAAGAGAAATTCTGGAATTTAAAAGTATAACAATACAATGTTCGTGGCTGGGCGTGGTGGCTCAGGCTCATTTTCCTAGCACTTTGGGAGGATGAGGTGGGGGGATCATTTGAGGCCAGGAGTTGGAGACCTAGTGAGATATTAATTGGTATGAATGGATGTTTGGCTGCTAGGATTTTGGGAGACTTTAATATTTTCTTTTACCTTTATTTGCTAATTTTCCTGTCGTGAACACATTATATAAAAGAAAGAAAAAACACTAATAAAAGTTATAAAAAAGAATCGATGTTTAGTAAGGAAAGGAGTGAACTGAAAGAGATGAGGAGGATGCATGGGCTCATTTGCACCTTAGTCAGCCTAAATCCTGCCGACTCACTCATACTTACACTTGAAACTCTTCATAAGATACCCCACTGGAGATGCTTCCTCTCCTTCGGGAGATATGTCCGCTGTCTTCATCATCATCCTCTTCAGAGTCATCCAGGCTTCTGGGGAAACTCCGGCTGCTCATGGGACGCGGTAGAGAGCTATGATCCAAGTCCAGGTCCTCCTGAAGAGCATGAGACTTTGAGGGAGCAGCAGGAACACCGAGACCCCACAGAAGTTTAGCAAGGACTTAGTAAGGAGGAAAAGGACGTGTGCCATTCACCGAGCACGTCCTTCTGGTTTACACCAGATTGGGATGCGCACAATTTTCTTTTTTTTTGGAGACAGTCTCACTATGTTGCCCTCAGTAGAGGGCTGTGGTGTCACAGCTCACAGCAACCTCCAACTCTTGGGCTTAAGTGATTCTCCTGCCTCACTCTCACAAATAGCTGGGACTATAGGCGCCTGCCACAACATCCGGCTATGAGTCCCACAATTTTCAATTTCATGAACTAGAAAATTTTAAAAATAGTTTTTTTTTTTTT